GGCTGTTATCAATGGAACTTGTTCTCTAAGATTATATCATTAATAGAGGCTCCCAGATTATTAGCGGTCGGATAAGTTCTGCCATGAAAGATATCAAAGCAGACAGAAACCGTGACCCATCATTGAATCGCAAACTTCGCTGGGTAGCGGTCGTAGGCAAGAAGTGAACCAAATTTCATGATCGGTCCCAATCAATGCACTTACCCTTCTTGTCGAATGAAACATATCAAAGAATCAAAGATAGATTGTAAATCATAAAGGCGCTAGGATATAATTGGTGATTGGATCTTGTTCTCTAAGACCTCTTCTGTCGTTAATGTGCCCATCCGGCCCTCTCTACTCCTATTGATACTGCCCTCCAAGTCCACGAGACCAGGAGTTTTCGCTCAGACATTTATTCCGCTGAAACCCCATTCCCTGTGAGCGCAGTCCGGCCCTACTGTCCAACATAAGTGTTCTCGTACTGCAGCCTGTTCTCCTACCATGTTTTGTCGCCCTACATCCAAATCGAAGATAATTGCGCACACCCCGCCTCTTCTGGGCGGGTCCAGTATTTCCATCTAAACATGCCGCCTAAACTCCTGCCAAGTTTAAACGCCTTAGGACCAAATGGAAAATTTGGCGCAAACCCCGCACTCTGCGGACGCGGTCAGGTCCTGCGCCATAAATGTTCCCACCCTGACTCCTGTACTCTTACCAAATTTGAACATTCTAGGTCCACGGGGACAGGAGTTATGAATTTCCGTGCAAACAAACAAACTGACAGAAAGACAGACGCGAGCGCTTTATATATAGTAAGGAAACTTACAAAGATGGAAGAAGACTTACCTTCTGTTCGGGAAGGGCATCTAGAAGTTGTCTCGGGTGCTTTCATTTCTAAACGAGACGTGATATCACGACGAAGTTCAGCGACGCTTCTTCTATCTGGCACCTGCAACAGCGCTTGAACAGCAGCTGCCTCTATCTGCCAGTGGTTTGATCAATAAAGTGAGTCTTAAGAGTCCACTCTATTTTTCATCGACCAAGGAAGGAAGGTATATAAGTGCATAGCTGGTGAAAGATTAGAAAATGCCAAGTTGTAAAGAAAATCCAGATAAGCAGTAGTGATCATGACGATCATACTGGAACGACAAGATTGATCGGAAACCTGCGGATAGAGGTTTTGTATCGATGGGAGTGGTTGCTGTTATTTAGAGAAGCATGGGTTCTCATTTTGTAAGAAAAAAGGCAATTAATTCGATTTTTACACAATATGAAGTCGGCTGTTGGTAGGATGACAGCAAAACCGTTGGCTCTTACTGAAACCCAACACAGTACTATCCATTTAAGGGACTTGGAAGTTGATAAATAAAAAATTGGTTCGGTTTTGTTAGCGAAGGTAACGGTCACAGTTTGGCTACCGTGAACAAGTCTGTGAAACGTTCCGTTAAGGGTAAATTTGCTAAAAGGATTACAGGGCTGTTAGCGAGTACGATGAGCGACCCCCCTTTCTCTTCATTGAAGTGTAACTGATTTTTCGAGACTTCTTTTCATTTTTTCATTTCATTAGATAAGGATAGAAATATTCCCAGCGGAGCTAATGATAAGGAGAAACCTGTTTATCAGAGGCAGCTAAAAAGGTATGCTACTCAGGACAACCAGTTTGGTTCTGTTTACTTTTCAACATTGCCGTACGCTTCTGTTTGCCTAGTAAACTCCTCAAACTACTTTCCCATATCCAGCTAAGGAAGTCCCATGTCAAAACGGTCATTTCTAGGGGGGAAATAGCTGTGTTCATATTTCACCCTCGTATTTCTGAGCCTTAGCTCAGATCTAAAATGGTTGCGGAGAAGTTATTTTGAGCTTTTACAAAGTAAACTTTCTCCAAGATATGAAATGATCCAGTGTAAAGTATTGGAAGTATTCGTTCTGGTCGCCGAACTTAAACCGGCCCAATGCTTGTAATTCAATGATTTGGCCTCAGAATTAAGATCTAAAGATAGGAAAAAGACGTTTCGTAGCGTTTTCTGATTTTCCTGATTTCGCCAACTGAGAGCAATCTAGAATGGTTGGTTATAGTTACTCAGGTACAATCCAATCTTGAACAAAATCCACATTTTTTGATTTTTGGTCTTTTCATGCTCAACTTTTTCGGCACCTCACTTTCATCAAAACCAACTTTTGGTTGGTCATTCGGTTACCTCGGTGGATAATGCGTTTGGATGAGGAAATGAAGGAAAAATTAGGGTGAAACACTCATGTAAAGCTATGTGTGGCTTGATTAAGCCCCCTATCAATGTGAACTTATGGTAAAGAGATTAGAACAGGTCTCTAGGAATGCAACATAAAATACTGGCCTCCCTTTTCAGAGTTTTCGGAAGTGGAATATGAAACGAAGGTAGACATCCAACCCAAGTAGTTTCTCCTTAAAGTTTTTGAGCAGCACTACCAAATGTCGATCATGCACCTTCACCCAAATGTACCTTTCTCACCCATTCAACAACGTTCGCACCCCTTTGTTAGTTTACACCCCACTTATAGCGCTCGTATCTTTTAGCAGGACATTTTTACTGACGATGTGTCGGATTGAAAAGTTGCCCACATCAACTGGTTCGAGCAGCAGAAGCTTTTCCTTTCTGCTTATAACTCAACAGAGCTTCTTTACATTTCCTCCTAGAGATCAGCCTATAGCGAGGTTCGTACAAACCTCCAAGTGGCTCACTCTGAGTAGCAACCCACACAAGTAGACAACTCGAGAAAAGGTGTTCTAAATCCATTAACTTAAAAGTGCAAGTGTATAACGAAGATTGATCATGAAATTCATTTTCAAAAGTATCAAAAAAAAATAGGGCGGAGGTGGTGTAGAGTCGCACTATAGCACATGCATGCTTTATTTAGTTTATTTATTTATTTACTAGTGCTCAATGTTAAATGTTCACGGGTTTCCTGGATTCGGGTTCAAATCCTGGATCGGGCCAACCAAGCTTTCACCCCCCCACGGCCGGACATTTGGTTCCAGACTTGTCTGGAAGGATAACATTTACATAGGTCAGCCACTGCAAGTCATTGTATAGGCCAAAAACGCATTCAAAACGCCGCCACAATTCTGAATGGAAATCGTATGCGCGGCGCATCCATCAGAGGGGTTGATTAATATCATTAAACGTTGCCCTTTATTCCACCAAAGAGTGAAGAAAAGAAAAAGGAAAGAAGAAAGCGGGAAGAAGAAATGTGAATTCTGTTGCCATCAATCCTGCAAACTCGTTACACTAACATTAAAGCCATTACGACAGTTCGCGTTTTCTGCTGACAACTGGGACATACTTCTACCCACACCTGACTGGGCGGATATATGTCAGGACCATTCGAGCCGCTCTTCCTGAATTCGTCCACAGGAACGTTCCAAGATCAGAATACGCCTAACTATAATACGGAGCCGGTGGCACACGTGTCCCCACAACTGATCACTCCAACTTCTGTCCATAGTAAGCAGAGTTATACATAAAGGATGCCTCCTGTTGACTAAAGAAGTATTAAATAAGAATAAATGCTCATGGATAAAATTTTAGTGCTTAATTATAGTTAATGGACCATTATTCTCGACTTTTTCAGTTAATTATCTTAAAAGTGTATCATACTGTAAAAGAGGATGGTAATCACGAGGTAATGAAGAGTTGAAAAATAACTGCACATCAAAGAAAACTAGTTTGCGTAGCTTCATTTGACAAAGGTTCCAGCAGACTCTTATTCAAAAGAATCTTTTCAGAGATTTCGGACCATTGCAAGAATGCATTTCTCTG